GGATGAACATTTAAACTGAACAGCGGGGACAGAGAATTAATGGATACAGAACATTTCTGTCCCCAGCAATCTAAAATTAATAAGGATACCAGTGCATGTAACATAGATGTTTGTGGAGCTAAGATTATCAACCTTGCTGTCGAACAAAACCAAGCATTTAATAGAGAGTGCCATTCCATGTGCATTCATCAAACAGTGGCAAAAAGTAGGGGCAGTCAGGTACAACACAGGTTATGTAGACAGTAAACACAGCATCAGACTTAAAAACCTCAAGTGCCTATACACAAATGCACAAAGTTTGGGGAACAAACAGGATGAACCTGAACTATTAATACATGAAGATAGATATGATATAGTTGGAATTACAGAAACTTGGCAGGATGAAACCCATGACTTAAACATACTGATAGAAGGATACAAACTGTTCAAAAAAACCAGACCCCACAGTACACAGATACACCGTACAGTAAATGTAGGTTTTTACTTCCAGAAAGGTTTAAGCAAAGTCCAAAATAAGCAATCCAAAGTCATTCACAAGTAAATCAGTCAGTTTTCAATCCAGGGATAATCCAAATATCAAAGTCCAGTGTCAAAAAACAGTTCAGTAACAGACTTACATTAAATCCAGTAATATCAGTCAATTAGAAGAAATGGAGAAACGGCAATACTTTCCAACAGAAGGAAACAGAGATACACTCACTCTCTCTTCTGAGACTCAGTCTAAAAATCCCAGGTTTCTGGCTCCATCTGATGGCCATTTGAGAAACCACACCCAATTGCATGCTCTTGCATTCCCTAAAAGAGACAGTATTAAAATGTTTTTCCTGGTTTATATATTTCTAACCCAAATACCTGTTAGGTGACTTATATTCCTAACGTCTCTTACTGTGGTAATGGAGTCAGGGAGAGATGCATTGAGCCGTGTTTCACAGACAAATATGATGTCGAATTTAGCCGTATTTAGTAAGAAGAGAAATTCAGGTATTTTATTTACAAGGCTTCTTGCATTGAGTAGCTTGCATTTAAGACCAGTTGTAGTTGGAATTGAGGTAGTTAGGGGTGTGCATGCCTCGTTTTGAGTGATGGTGAATTGGATGAGGTAGGGTTGGATGCAGAGTTGTGGGATGTGTGACTTACTTTTGATACAATCAGCATGGTAGTCAATGTATAGGTCCTTCTCTCCATTGTCTAGATGTTTTTTTAGTTCTGTGCAGAGTTCACGGGAGCAGATTCTTTGCAGTATGGATAAGTCTGATCTTGAGCAAAGTTTGTTATGGGTGGGATTGGTTTTAGCAATGGCGTTTATTGTATGAATGAATATACATTTGCTGGACTCATTTTTGCAAACAACTCTACAAAATCTTGGGGCCACCGAGCCACCATTGTATTTGAACTCAGGGCCATCTCTGGTTATTTCAATGATATAGACATAGACAAGGGGTTGAAGTATTTAAGGACAGTTCATAGTTGATGGTCTCAGGAAGAGCAAGCTCTTATATAATTTGAATCTTTTTTAGATTTAGAGACTTTTTATAGAATATAGCAACTCCACCTCCTCTATGGATTTTGTGATCAGACCGATAAACATGATATTCTCTTACAGTGATAATGGAGTCTGGGAAAGATGCATTCAACCATGTCTCACAGACAAATATAATGTCGAATGTGGCTGTGTTTAGTAAGATAAGGAAATGAGGAATTCATGCATTTTTGCAAGGCTTCTAGCATTGTTTGCATTTAAGATATGAAGTAGTGGGTCTGGAGGAAAAAGGGGTGTGCATCCGTAACGTTGGATGTTTGGGTGATGGTTATTAGGACATAGGTTGTGGCTCTTGCTTTTGATACAATCTGCATGGTAGTCAATGTATAGATTATTACCTAATTCATGTAGTCTTTTGAGCTCAGAGTGTAGTTCGTGGGATCGTATACGTTGCTGTAAGGTTAGATCAGGGTGAGAATGAAGGTTCTTATGGTTGTTGTTGCTCTTTGCGAGTGAATATATTGAGAAAATGAATTTATATTTTTTTGATTCATTTTTGCAAACGACCCTGCGGAGGCGTCAGGCCATCAAGACATCTTTGTTTTTGAGTTCTGGACTGACGCGGAAAATATAAAGTATTTCATCAGGGAGATGGTTGACGCTTGATAGTCTCTGATGATGTTGCAGATGTTAGTGAAGTCATCATTGTCATTGACCCCTAGACCAAATAAAATGGCATTTGGTCACTTCCGTTCATGCTCAATGGCTTCTTTGATGAGGATGGGGATATCAATATTTGCAGAATTTGTGTTTTTTTGTGGATTGGGTTTTGGTTGTGGTTGTTGGGTAGAGATATGGTTTGTAGTTGTTTAACGTTCATTTTTTTGTGTTGTGTCTTTTTTTCAAGGTTTGTTAATCTTGCTTGTATAGTGTCCAGGGATGCTGCAATCAAGGGATGTCAAGGGATGTTATACATGTTTCTATGGTATCAACTCTTTCGAACAGGGAAATGTATTTGTCTAGTTTGGGTCTGCATGGTGGACAGAAATATGGAAAAGCATTGGCGGATGATTTTAGGAATAGAGCCATTTGCTTGGGTAATACTGAAGAATTATGGTGAGTGTAGTTGTCAGAAGGAGAACATTTGATGTAATCTTCATTATCCGTTAAAGTTTTTTTAAAGGTAAAAGCAAGGGTCTTGTGGTTCATTAGTAGGGATTTCTTTCTTTTTATGTTGTGGTTTGACATTGGATTCCTGGCATGATGAGTCTGTTGAGATGGTTTGTTGATTGGGTTGTTCAATCAAACAAGATATTATGGTAATCAATAAAGCAATATCACACCAAACAATCAATTATGCTAATCACACTAGTCAATTAATTTAACTAATCAATAATCACCCTAATAATTAATCACACTAATCACTAAACACACTAGTCAATTAATTACAGTAATCACTAATTTACACTAAACATTCTAATCATACTAATAGTCAAAACAGTTAATCAAACTAAACAATAACCATTAGTCACTAATAATCTATAATAATCTATTAATCACTAATGATAAATAATTGTAGAATTAATTAATCAATTAGTTAAGATCAGTTAATAAATTAAACAGACTTATATTGAGAAAAAAATTATGGCAGGAAGAGAATAATGGGGGGTGTAGGGCAGAAAGAAGAGAAGATTTGGTTTGAATGGCTCCTGGGGGTCATAGAAAGAGGGCATATGTTAGGCTGAAGGTCTTTTGGCAGAAGGTTACTCTTCTCTCGTTACTTCAGATCTTCAATTAGCGATCTTAGGGATCCAGGTCTGTCTTCTCATGGATCTTCTTGTCTTCAATCATTAGCGATTAGGCTGCCAAGTGAATCAGTAGGGCTACGGGAGAAGGCAGGGAAGGTGCTTAGCCATAAAAAAAAAATCAGCCGTTGGAGCTCTGCCATTGATTAAGAGTCAGAGCTAATTATATATTGCTTGTAGCACGACAAACACTCAACGGGCTCTGGATTTTAGTGTTTTTAGGTAAAATAGGAACACCTGCGCTCTGAGATCAGGACCTCCATCGTGGGATCAGCCGATCACAGGTGATCACTGGTGTAGACAGCTGTTTAGGTGGCAGTTTTTATGGATGGTCAGCGCTCCGGGACCCGGCCCTCAGTCACAGGCCCTCAGTCACAGTCGCTTTATGGCAATAATTGATGTTGGCAGCAACTTAACAGTTATTTTATTTATTTATTTATTTATTTATTTGATTTGTCAATTGTTTACAAGATAATAAGTACAAGTGTATACATAGTTGTGAATACATGAAATGGGTACACACAAGAAAAACAAAAGAACAAGAGAAACAATAGGACAGGGACGGTAGGCACGTTGGTGCGCTTATGCACGCCCCCTACAGACCTCTTAGGAAAGGGGTGAGGTCAATAGTAGACAGTCTAAGGTTAAAGTTTTTGGGGTTTGGGGAAGAGACTACAGAGTCGGGTAGAGTATTCCAGACATTGACCACTCTATTGCTGAAGTCGTATTTCCTGCAATCAAGTTTGGTGCGGTTTACTTTGAGTTTGTATCTGTTGTGTGCTCTTGTGTTGTTATGGTTAAAGCTGAAGTATTCATTGACAGGTAGGACATTGCAATGTATGATTTTATATACCATGCTTAAGTCGGACCGAAGACGGCGTAATTCGAGGTTTTCTAGTTTTAGAATTTCGAGTCTGGTGGCGTAAGGTATTCTATAACGGGTAGAAGAGTGGAGAACTCTTCTTGTGAAATACTTCTGGACTTTCTCAATTGTGTTAATATCACATACGTGATAAGGATTCCAGACTGATGAACTGTGACCTGTAAATCTATTTTTGACTGATTATATACTTCAATCGGGTAGGAAAATGGTGAGAGCTCCACTCGCGATCGATTGACCAGCGGGAGCGAGAGCCTCACCTTCCTAATTGGGCAACGCCATCTTCTTTATTGATTATCGCCTGAACCTGATGTGGGCTGAGAGATAGTAACTAGTCTAAAATCACCTAGTCTGGCTTTCATGTATGAGGTAGGACTAGACTTCAGTCTCTTGGTATCTGGTGCCTTAACTACTAGAACCAATTGGCTGCATTGTTCATCCAACATATTGTGGATAAAAAATATTGCAGATAAAAAACAGTAATATTTGCTGCATAGCAAAAGCAAATTTCTGTTTTCTAATAAGGAATTGTAAGCACCTGACTTTTCCCTTTCAACCGATAAGAATGAACTTCTGAAAGCTAGGTACTTCAAAAGGAATTCTTTATTGAAAGAAAGTGATCCAGGTACTAGTCAAAGCAGAATCTAAGATGCTTCCAGGCATACAGTAATAAATAAAGGGAGTTAGAACCCCTTATTCTGATGTGTCAAACAAAGAAACAACATGTTAATTCTCCCCCCCCCTTTTCTGGGAACATATCTTAGAAAAGTTTCCCAGGAAGTTTCTTTCAGAGCTGGAATTTTTATGGTCCCTTCTCCTCTTGCTGTCTCTTCAAGAGGTGACAAGTTTCCAGACATCTGGCTCCAATCCCCCAGTTGTGTATCATGTGCAAGTTATACAGATTCAATACAAGACTTAAAATATTCAGGTTACATCAAAAAGGATTACTTGTACCAACTCCCCCCTTCTTCTTCCATTGAAGAATGGCAGATACATGGATCTGACAGGAATTAAATAGCCAGCGATCATTGGATTGCCAATGTGGATTATCCTTTTTACTGCTTGAATAAGTTTATACTTACCAAACACTAATGAGAGTTGCAGAATCTAAGGGATTAACATTTTGATTAAAACTTTCTCCTGATAAAATATTAAACATTTTGAAGGCAAAGTGGGATAACTGTGACCTTGATGCATTTGCACATTTTATTTCCAACAGCCAGTAATATTTATGATCCTAATAGCCTGGTGCCCAGATTTTCTGTGCCAGCAGAGAAATGCTTAAAATGGAGCACAGCTACCATAGTGCATCATTTACAAGCTCTGACATTACATCAGTGTTGCAAGAACATTATGGCAGCATTTCAAACTCTTTTGCTGCAGCAAATATCAAAGCACAATATCAATCTGCTATTGGCTTTAGATATAGCTTTATCTGCTGCCAAATGCTCAATAAATTTAGCTCTCAACACTGACGCAGTCAATGTGTAGTTCAGCCATGATTTTACTATGGAAATTTTTTTGAAAGCAAGCAAAATATGCAAATATTAGCAGATGATTAAAAATAATAATTGTTATAGTCAATTTTAAGTTTACAGTTAAGACACCTTAAGTGTTTGGGGATATAAAGACTGCAGAAGGCCATATCATAAATTCATCTGACCAATCCAAATCAAAGAAAGAACAAAAAAAAACACCAAATACAATATTTAATTCCATGTCTCCATTGGAATCTTTTTAATTAGTGAATACAATGTTAATTCTTCAAGGTAAGAAAACACAGTACTTGCTGTTTGATTTCATGCATTTACTCCTGTTCACAACTCCTGTTCCACAGCCTATCCCCGAGTATCACTGAAACTTAACTTTCTAATTCATGTTTATACTGCAGTATCAAATTCTGCAAAGAGAGTCCTATTATCCTTAATATCCCCAATATTATGAATATTGGCACTGCATAGATTTCATCTGGACATCTAGTTGTTCCACAAGTATTGCTTTTTATCTTTTCTCTTAAACAGGGAAATATTTTTCTTTAATTAAGTAGAATTTTGACTTTATGCATAAAGATCTAATTAGTTATCATTATCTAATTCCAATTACTACTAGAGAAAGTTACATGTTTAAAAGTCATGTTAGCTTATCACTATGATTCTACAGAATTATGAATCTGTCTTAGCTTTAGAATCTAACTATTAAAGTCAATCACTATCTAAATCAGTAACAAAATCACTATCATGGCTGTTATTTATTGGAAACCTTTCCTTTTTAAGAGTCTATAGAGATTCTCAGTCATCCAGGTCATGATTGTCCCAAAGGTGCTTTTTTCAGAGGCAACTGGACTTACTTGTTTTTCTTTGAAGACGTTTCACTTCTCATCCAAGGAGCTTCAGTTGCCTCTTGAAAAAAGCACTTTTGGGTTTCCTTTTTAAGAATTAAGGTTTTTTATGCTACAAACCTCTCCTTATCTAGTAACCTTCTGTTGGATACATGGCATCTTCCATAGATTTTATCATCACTACAGAAAGCAGTCTGCTCTGCTGCTGCACATGTCTTTATTATCTAAAGATAAGGAAAGAGGTCTGGGGAAGAAACCATCAAGTTCAGTTGAAGGAAAAAACACTCTGGCCAAGTCCTAAATCATTTTGTTTGAAACAATGTTTGAATACTTAATAAGGACACACACATATTTTTTTCTATATGCTTGAATTAAATGTTTGAAGGCACCACCAAAGCAGCATTTTGTACCTGCAAGAAATCATCTAGTTCACTATTGCAATTATTAGAAGCAATATATAAAGGAATGTTTACTATAATACAGTAGGCACAGACATTATAATATAAGTAGAAAACAATGCCATAGAAAAAAAGCATATTGAGCACCATTGGTGTATTTCTCCTGTTCTAAAGACTATGAACTGTCACTTACAAAAAAAAAAACCTCAGTGAAATCTCACAATATTTCTTTGTTTTACTGTTTCCAAGAGGGATGTTATTACTTATTAGGTAAAGGATTATTCTTTGGTACCGTGGACTCCCTTATTGGTTGCAATGGACTTGGCTGATCATCTAGATGGGAGCGAAGATTTTCAGATGTTAAGAGTGAGGAATTAAAGACAATCTCACTCAAGTCAGACTTGATACATATCAAATGGGGATCTTCAAAGCTTAAAGGCTCTTCAGCTAATACTTGTGTGTTCTCTCGTGTCATTCCCATATCAGATGGTGATTTCCTTTTCATTTGTGTGTATGATTTGTTAAGATTTTCCATGCCTTGATCAGTTTTGTGAAAACGCCCAAAGAACCAGATGAAGAATCCAAACAAAGTAAATGCTAACAAACACGGAATGAAGGCCAAGCATTTGACATCTAGGCTTGCACCAATGTATCGGCTATGTAGAAACATATCATCTTCAGTATAGGTTCTGTTGGTCAAAGGGTTTGTGTTGTTTGACCGCCACTCCCAAGACAGTTTGGTTCTATTGAGGTCCTTTAAGCTTTCTAAGTCTTCCACAGTATAAATTTTCTGTCCAGGACCAATATATTGACCATATTCATGCGGCTTGTAAAATATTTGATTCTTCCACATATTCAGATCCAAGATTAAAACAAGAAATATAATCCCATAATTAAACCATTTGCCTGTGGCAGAAAGAAAAGAATAATAATTAGAATAATAACTACAGCTACAACAAATAGTACATGCAAAATCTGTAGAAAAAATAAAATGTAAGCCTTTCCAATTAATTTCACAATGAAGTTTAATTAAATGTTTCATAACAGTAGATTTGTGACTGAATAAATTTTTACAATTTAGCCTTGTAGTTAATTATTTGGAAATGTGAACCTAGAAGTAAAATAATAAAATTCTTATAATAAGGTCTAGGTGGCCTGTAGATTAAGTAATTTTGCACTGCAGAATAGATCACATCATGGAAAAGCTGCCTTTTAATATTTTAAAATAGATCCTGGAAAATAAAAGCTATGTATGACACCTATATATTATTTTTACAGGTTATTTGTGCATTGTTAGTAGTCATCAAGCACTACAATATATATTGTTGTAAAAATGGAATTCAGAAGTTCAAATCATGAAAGATTGTAGACCTGCATGTTCAAGCAACAGATTAGATGGGTAATAGCTGCTTAGGGAATTCTGGGGTTTCAAATCCATACCGTAAAGTTGTTAAAGTTGAGAAACTCCGGATTAGACAATTATGCTATACTAATTGCTCTTGAATGTTAACTTTAATAAATATGGAGTTAACTCTGAAGTTAATCTTCTTTTCCTCATCTTTTCCTTTTTTCATATCACTATTTCAGCTTCTGCTCTCTATCCCTGTCAACTCTGTGCTCTCCAATTTGATTTACACTATGCTAAACATGAGTTTATAGTATATGCTTTTGGGGGTCAGTGCTAAGTTGAAGTCAGTTTTACATAGTAGAGCAGAGATGGACTACAAATAATCTGCTAGGTTATTTAATTTCTTCACCAGTTTGACTCAAACAATTAATGCTGAATAACGGTAACCAAATATTATCTGGAGAAACATGTTTGTTCCCTTGTGATCTTTGGATAAGGTTGGAATGATTTCACAGGTATTAAGCAGTGACTTAAAATATCTTAACCCTTTGCAGTGGTGGGATTCAAATTTTTTTACTACTGGTTCTGTGGGTGTGACTTGGTGGGCGTGACAGAGGAAGGATACTGTAAAATATCCAGTCAGATATGGTATTTGCCAGTTCTCCAAACTACTCAAAATTTCCACTACCGGTTCTCCAGAACTGGTCAGAACCTGCTGAATACCACCTCTGCTTTGGTGCCCTTTTCTTTCCTTTTCTCCCTTTATACTATATTTCTTTTCTTGTCCCTCTCCTCTTCTTAATTTTCCACTATTTTTAAATTTTTCTTTGTATTTATATTTCTAAAAACCAATACAAATTATACATGAAAAAGATGCTAAACTCTTCACAGAAATATATAGGAATACAGACTAATTTATCTTAATTTTTTAAAGACTATGTCTTTTCTGTAAACTAGTGTAGATTTATTTTACAATAACTCAAAACCCCCAACTTAAGTAGCTTAAACACATAAACTGTTGCTTACATCATTTGCATAGGAATCCAAAGATAAAGTTTTTCCATTCCTTTTCCAAGAAAAATTGCTTCCCAAATGTGCCAACTACACATTTTCTTTTTCTTTTTAATTTTTTAATTACTTTTTTGCTACAACCTATTAGGTTGCCATACAAAAATAGAACACAATAAAATAAACTGATGAAATAAAAATTTAAAAAAGCAACAGAGACCGAACTACTAACAATACCAGCAGAAATACAAAAATTAAAAGACAGAATGAAAAGATTTTGCCTGACATAAAATAAAGTTATCAAATGACATGCCAGACCAGGAAGATCTCTAAAGAATTGCATTACTACATTCACTAAGTGTGCTCTCAGACCAGCCATACAATCTGTTTTTCATATCTGATATCTTACATAGTATAATTAATTAGCTGAAATGGCTATCCTTCATTTTATTATACTTCTTTAAACTTATGAATAATATATATACATGTCAGAGGTGGTCTTCAATAGGTTCTGACCAGTTCTGGAGAACCGGTAGTGGAAATTTTGAGTCGTTCAGAGAACCAGCAAATCCCACCTCTGACTGGAGATTTTACAGTATCCTTCCCCTGCCATGCCCACCAAGCCACGCCCAGAACCAGTAGTAAAAAAATTTGAATCCCACCACTGATACATGTGTTTCTCCATACATATTCTATAACTAGGTTAACCATATACAAATGTTCATACACCCACATCAACATCAGATTACCAGTCTTTCCACCAGCAGAGCCAACTATAATGGCTGAGAACTCTGAAAATTGATGCTCAACCTATCTGGACAACTCCAGGTTTAGAAAGGCTCATCTACACAACCATCAGCAACCATCAAAGAGAAGATCAAGATGTAACTTCTGTTATGTTTAAGGCCCAGCAAGGTCTCAAAAGAATAAATCCAGGCTTGATATTTCAAGAGGAATTATAGGTTTGGTGTTTCAGAAAGAACAGCATGAAAGGCCAGGCTCAACATTCAGGCTTTCTGTTTTCTAACCTTGCAGTGGAGAAAAAAGTCAAAGGTAAGGGATATATATCAATATGGCTGTTTCTAATAATAAATGACCAAAACAGTGCTCTTTCACCTCAATTATACCAAGTGCAGGAACATCAAATATGTCTTTCCCACAAAAGTGTATCCTAACAGCAGGAGATCTTCCCTGGTATCATGAATGACTGGGACATCTAAGTGTCTTGTTGTGTTCTTAGCACTCGACAATGCTGCTGGACCTGCCTTCATGACTGTAAAACTGTTGATCAGTCTTATCCACTCAATCTGCCAGAGCTAATCTTCACATGCTGGAATAGACAAACCCCTATCTCACTGAGAGCTGAAGAACCATTGCCTACCCTCACCTGGTTTGGTCTCTCTGTCAAGATGCTTTATTGGGGTGTGGCCGTTTTGTGTGTTATACCTATTTGGAGGCACAAGTGATTACTGAGGGTCAGATGTGGACCAAAGATAAACAGTGCACAACATGCTTATGTTACGAGCCTGGTGGCAACAGTTAATCTGAGTGTGATGAATATGTCTGCCCTTCTTCCAAAATACCATACAAAATGAAATAATGCTTTCTTAACTAAGTATACATTCATTTATTATATAGCTATATCTATCTGATAAGGTAACATCACAAACTTAATTTAGAGCAAAATCAAAAAGCACATAACTTACTACTTCCTGAGCAGAATAATGCTATTTAATTACTGTTAAATATTTTTACATTAAGTAAATATACTGTACATCATGGCATAACTTTTCATTCTAAACATTCAGATTACTGAATGTTTGAATTACCGTGTTTCTCCAACAATATGGCCTCCACCAATAGGAAGGCCCAGCATGTTTTATCAGCATAAAATCAAATTAAGCCCCTCCCCCCAAATTAAGGCCTATATTAAACATGCGAAATGGGGGGAAATGGCGGGGGGCTTGCCGTTAGGAAGTACTTTTGTTGCATACCCGGATATGGTGCTGCCTGCGTTGACTTTGGCGTTGGTGGGGCACTTCGTATCAGGAGACCTGCCACCATTGCTTTCCCTTCTCCCTTGCTGCCGCAGCGTTTAGAGCAACGCCGCGGCATTTGGCGCAGCCACGTGTGGCCAGCCAGGGCTCCTCCCTGCAACCGGAGCCCGGTGGAGACACTCGGTTTCAGGTGCTCCTGTCGCCGCCTTCCCTTCGCCTTCAAAGGCAAAGCCAATTCTTTTAAAAACGACACCCTACTACCGGCACGACAAAGCCACCCCTGCCCGAGAGGGCAGCCAACCCCACGTGGAGGCGAATCTCCCAGGGCTGCAGCGCAATATCGGCCCACCCCGGGAGAAGCGCCCAGCCGCCATCCCTGCCTGGCGCCGGGCAGAGTGCAAAGAGCTTCGCCTGGGGTGCCCAGCGCAGCTGACAGGCGGGCCCTCCTGCCCGGCGGCGGAGCTCTCGCCAAGGCAGCGAGCGCCTCCCCACTAGACCCTCTGCTCATCCCGTCAGGGCCGCGCCAGAGCCTTGCGGGCTGGGCAGAGCCAGGAAAGCAAGCTGTGGGTGCACGCCCACCTGCCAAGCGAAAGAGCTGGCCCAACCCAAGTCCCTCTAGCCCGAACCCAAAGGGGCCACAGGGAGAGGGCGCCCGAGGCAGTGATAGCGCCCAACCATCCGTGGACAGGGAGGCAAGGCGATGGCCTGCACCGCATCCTCCTCCGAGCTGAGCCCTGCCTGATGCCTGTTCCGCTGCAGCGTTTGGAGCTGCTGGCGCATTTGGAGATGTGTGGGGACAGGGACGGGCTGGGCGAGGGGTGGAAAGGACAGGCGGCTTTGGGTTCTCTCCACCGGCCAGGGAAGCAGCGCTGCCATCACCTCGCCTCCCTGTCCGTGGACAGGTGGGTGCTATCACTGCCTCGGGCAGCCTCTCCTGGTGGCCCCTTTGGGTTCGCGCTGGAGGGACTTGGGAAGGAAGCCAAGCTCAGGTCAGCCCGGCTCTTTTGCTTGACAGGCGGGTGCGCACCGGTAGCTCGCTTTCCTGGCTCTGCCCAGCCTGCACGGCTCTGGCGCAGCCCTAGCAGGATGAGCAGAGGGTCCAGCGGGGAGGCGCTCGCTGCCTTGGTGAGAGCTCCGCTGCTGGGCAGGAGGGCCCACCTGTCAGCTGCGCTGGGCACCCCAGGCAAAGCTCTTTGCACTCTGCCCAGCGCCAGGCAGGCATGGCGGCTGGGCGCTTCTCCCGGGGTGGGCCGATCCTGCGCTGCGACCCCAGGAGATTCGCCTCCCCACGTGGGGTTGGGCTGCCCTCTCGGGCAGGGCAGGCTTTGTCGTACCAGTAGTAGGGTGTAGTTTTTAAAAGAATTGGCTTTGCCTTTGAAGGCGAAGGGAAGGTGGCGACAGGAGCGCCTGAAGCCGAGTGTCTCCACCGGGCTCTGGTTGCAGGGAGGAGCCCTGGCTGGCAGCACATGGCTGCGCCAAACGCCACGGCGTTGCTCTAAATGCCATGGCAGCAAGGGAGAAGGGAAAGCAATGGTGGCAGGTCTCCTGATACG